GGGGGGGGGGGGGGGGGGGGCGGCGGCACTGGAAGGTCCCCCCGGACCTGGGGGTACGAGGTCAGGGTGTCAGGGGCGCCTTCCGTGGCTTCCGCTGTAAACAGTGCGTTTAGAACCCACCCTCCTTCGGGGGGAGGACAGTATGCAGCTAATTTCTTACATCAGTGTTCTTTTCATTAATTAACATTTCTCCGCTGTTAGAGCAATTACGGTGGTGCCTCCGCGCCGTGCATTTCTTTTCATGATTAATAAGGAGTCATTATATTTCTGTTTCCTGAAGCAGTCAATTAACACAGAATTCTTTCCATTAATTACCGCACGTTTAAAGCCCGCGCGCCCTACCTGGGGAGCGATCTGCGCCGAGGACCTGGGACACCAGCCGCTTTAAAAAGTTCTCTTTAAATTTTATTCCGAAAACACAAGCAATTTAGCCGGCGACATTAATTTGCCTCCGAAGCATCATGGTGAACGAGAGACATGTTTTAATCTCATGCAAGAAAAGGCAGCCATCTGGCGGGCGGGAACGGGAGACCGAGTCTCCTGCTCCCCGCAAACGCGGGTCGTTAAAGTAATGTGTTCATCTACATAAAACTCAAATGGAATATAAAAGGTAATATTTATATACAAACAATTTAGTCCTACGATTTAAACAGTCATTGGTTTTATGAAACATTTACTTTAGTCTATCAGATTTGCATAACTTCACTTAAAAAATAACTGTGGTCATTTCTGTAAGTCACATCATTTCTTTTATAAAGTCCTAAAACTGCTGTCCTTTGGAAATATCTATGTATCTATGTATGTATCTATTCTCCGTCTATCTATTCTCTATCAATCTATCCATCTATCATCTAACATCTGTCTATCATCGATCTATATATTATCTATTTATCATTTATCTATCATCTATCACTATCTATCATCTAATTTTAAAAAGTACACGTTGAGAAGTTCTGAAGGAGGGCGCGTTTCTGAAGGCCGCACACGTGCTTCTCACGCCTTTGTAGGAGTCTCTTCACTTGACGATGTCACCTCTCCCCAGGCTTCTGTTCCCACCTGACTGTACGAGTGGGGACACCAGCCGGGGTCCTGGGGAGGCTGCCTTTCCCTCACTTTTCACCGAAGAATTACAGAATTTCCACAGACTCCTGGAGAGGAGGTATGTGAGCTTTCCGTGGAAGGAGCACCGATGTTTGTGAGGGATTGAGTTCCTTCCCTTAAATCTGAGACGGGTATTTCTGGGCAGGACCGAGGATACGCCGGAAAGTGAGGACAAATTCAACAGAGTCACTTGATATAGGATTTCGGATACCGCCTTCGGAGATTCGAAGAACCCAGGAAACAGAGAGAGAGCACGTGTCGGGGGTAGGCCCTTCCACTCTCAAGGTTGGTGGTATTTGTGTTTTAGGTGTACACTTCACCCCCGACCTACGCATAGGCGCCCCTGCGTTGGCTGGCGCTCTTGCAGCATGGGTCACAGACGTAACTGCAGTTACGAGACTGGGTGGCGAAGCATCCAGGACCCAGGTGGCCGAAGTGGTGTCTTATCTCTCTGACCGATAGTGAAGCTGGAACATTCCTTACGAATTAAAAGCAGGGAAATGGACATTTCCCCCATCGATAACAAAGCACTTGCTTGAAAGAAGCCAAGTCTTGAACAAGAAAATTAGTATTCCCGGAAGAGACAGCGCCGTCCCGTGGGCCATCCAAGTACTGGCGGCCAAACAGACTTTTGGAACATATGTGAGTAGTTCTGAGTCTGTGGGATTGTCAACACAAATACCTTCTATATCTGGTTTCCTCTCAATAACCTTTATAACAAAGAGAGAATCAGCCTTCTCCTCATCTGGATCAATAAAACCAAATGTCTTCCTGAACATAAACTGGGGAACTTTCAGCGTCCAGGATTGAATGAAAATACTTCTCCTTTTGTTCAAACAGCTGATATTCCTGCACCATTGACAGAGGAAAAAAAAATCCCATGTCTGGTTTTCAATATAGATAATCCCTCAATAAATATATTTTTGTCTGTTTGTCAATCACGGAAATACAGAAATACCAGAGACAAGTGGAGTAGGCGGCTTGGGAAAAGGTGCCTTTCTTTCACCGTGAGGTGCCGTCTCTGTGCTCAGCTCACACGGTGGCCTCCAGGGACCAGCGGGGACAGTCGCAGGGGTGAGCCCCCAGAGCCCTGCCTCAGGCGGTCACTGCCGGTGTGTGCCTGGCACGTGACACTGTGACACAAAGATGGCGAAGGCCATTCTACGTTGTGGACCGTGGGGGTTCTCGCCGGCTGTTTCTGCCACTTTGATGTGGCCCCTCAGGGAGATGTAACTGTGAA